AGGCCCTGCCTTACCTTGTAGTGCAGCACAGTGATGGCCGCAGTAGCGATTAATAACAGTCCGTTGGTGTCAGGTTTGTTTTGTAATAGTTCGTTTTTCCTCTCACTAGGAATTCCTCCCGATCAGCAACGGCTGATCTTTGCTGGCAAGCAGCTGGAAGATGGACGCACCCTGTCCGACTACAACATTCAGAAGGTAGGCTTGGGGAAGCAGTCGTTTTTAAATGAGAATCGGTGTGGTAATTTTGACACAAGTGAAAGTAGTTATCACAGCGTCAGGTTGTGTTTCATTGGTGGAAATCCCCGATATATATCTCTAAGGTGTTTACTTTTTTTTAAATATTTGAATTCATCTTTTTTTAAAAAAACTTTTATTGGGGCCTCTTCCATCTTATTATTTAATCGTTTCATTGGGGCTCATACAACTCATCACAATCCATACATACATCAATTGTGTAAAGCACACATTTGTTGCCCTCATCCTCAAAATTCGCTTTCCGCTTGGGTTCCTGGAATTAGCTCATTTTCCTAAGGTGTTTGTTTACTTTTAAAAAGCAGATTCTGAACTGTTCATCTACGTCTCCTAAATGTGACAGTACAATGACAGTTCATTTCGTAAGAGTCCCACGTGACCCCCTACACACAAATTTGAGCTACAATCCTGTAATAAGTATATTGATAATGATTGAAAGTCTTTAATGTGTGTTTTAATCTCCCTGCCATTAAAATAACCAAGTTTTCCCCTCCCTCTGGTTATTGTAGCTTGGGTTTGCACCACACTTCGAGTGGCATTGTGTGTTCTGTTTTGTCCAGATAGGAAATGAATGGCAGCACGAGCTTCTTTAAAAATCTGTTTCACCCTCTTCCGTGAACAGGAGTCCACTCTTCATCTTGTGCTAAGACTCCGCGGTGGTGCTAAGAAAAGGAAGAAGAAGTCTTACACCACTCCCAAGAAGAACAAGCATAAGAGAAAGAAGGTTAAGCTGGCCGTCTTAAAATACTATAAGGTGAGCTGCATCAAGGTGTTAGAATATCAGCAAGCCTTTTGCTTATTTGGAAATGTAATCACTAGTAATATACTTCAGGCTGCTTACATGAGATTGTTCTGGAAACAGGATTTTTGAGAAATAAGTTCTTATTTGCTTAGCATGAATGCCACTTGTGGTTTTGAGTCTTGTTCAATGTAATAAGTTTGTCGCCTTAACTGCATGTTTCAATCAAGGTTGGAAATCAGATCTGTGTTCTGGTCTTAGCTCTACTGCTGCAAACATCCTTGGTCCTCTGAACTTTTAAAATTCAGATTTCAAGCACTTTCGTCTATTACTGCTTGTTAGTGGTTTTCTTAGTGTGTGTGTGTGTTAATGGCAAGTTTGTCTGTTTCAGGTGGATGAAAATGGCAAAATTAGCCGCCTTCGGCGCGAGTGCCCCTCAGATGAGTGTGGTGCTGGGGTTTTCATGGCCAGCCACTTTGACAGACATTACTGCGGCAAGTGCTGTCTGACCTACTGCTTCAACAAACCAGAAGACAAGTAACTGTACTGGTTAATAAAAGCCATGATCATTTAGTAGTTGTGTTTTATTTACATAATTTTTTCAGTCCTATTCAAGGATATTTTTATATCCTTTGATAAAGCCTCCCTGTGTGCCCTTAAAATGCCAGTGTCCTTTATATCTTTTATATTAAGAAATTAGCAGCATTCTAGCAGGAGAGTCATGGTGTTAATACATGTTGTCTGAATGAGTTGGTTTGTATTTGTTAAGTGTATGATCTTGCCTAAAGCAACTAGTTCTATTTCCTAAGTAGTGAATTAGTTCCTGCGTGGTTTGAGTTGGCCCTAAGCAGTACAGGGAATATAGAGTACTTTGTGCTAACAGAATCGCAAGCAGTATTTGGTATACTGTTTTTGCCCAAATGTTAGTGGTTTGAGCCCACTAACCACTCTTCCAGGGCAAAGATGGGGCCATCTTATAGGGTTGCGAGTCAATTCAATCTGCAGCAATGGGGCGGGAGTGGTGGCTTTGCCCAGGGAGTCTTTATAAAGGTTACACTTTGTGCACCGAGAGGCTGCACACCGCAGAAGGAAGCCTTGCCTGGTCCTGCACCCTCTGTTGGAGGCATTTTCAGTTCATTGCACTAGGGTTCTTAACTCCAGGGACTGATCTCTCCTCCCATAAGGTCTGAAGTACATGGAGCCTTTAGTCTCACTTGGTCTTCCTTCTGAGTATTCTGGCTACTTCCAAGATTATTTTGTTCTGACAGTCCATGGCGTTTTAAATCAATTGGGGGGGGGGTGTACTTAATTATTACTAGTTAAGATTTAATACATAACCTTTGCTGTGCTATAATCCAAATGCATCAATTCTCCAATTGCTTGTGCATGTGAGGCCAGTGTAGAAGACTGGCTTGGTCAGGCTCACCTTGGTCCTCAGAGCAACTTCCTTGGTCTTCATTTTAAAGTCTTGTGCAATGGATTTGCCCAATTCAACATGTCGTTTGATCTTTTTGACTGCTGCTTCCATAAACACTGATAATGGCTCTAAGCAAGTTGAAATTCTTTACAACTTTTGGGCAAGATCATAAAAACATACAAATCAACATTGCCAAATCTGCATATCCGTACTCCGCTTCCAGGGACACTTGGCATTGAGAGTTTTGGTTGTTTTATTGTGTTCTTAACTCTTGTTACAGTTGTGAGGATTTTCGTTTTAATATTGAGTTGCAACCCGTACATACTGAAATGGGTAATACTGGTCTGTTAAGTTGATAACAGTGATTTACAATTGCACTTCATTACATTGCTGCTCCACTCCATGATTTCTGCCTGAGGACTTCCCAAGTCAGGTTGTCTCTGTAGCGCAGTATTTTCTGGTGTATATTACTACTTGGTAGAACAATGTGAATACTTTGACTTCTATAAATAAAAGACATTAAATCTTTTTCTTTTTTTTTTAATTTAAAATCCTGGATCCCAAGAAGTTTTGGCTAGAATTTCTTTTTCTTCATAACAAACCATCTCATCTCCCACTTTAAATTCTATGTTTTCTTCATCCAAACTGAGACCACAATCCATACCAGTTTTGATAACTGAAACGTCATCTTTATGGTGTTTCAGTGAGGTTAAGGAACCTTAAGGAAGAAAAAAAACTTTAATAGTTCATATCTTTTCCAAATACTGAGTATCTACTATGTATCCTGAAATTGAAAGAATACTGAAATCCTTGGCAAATTTTATAAAATATATGAGTCCTAAATTTTTTTGAAGGACAATGATGTCAAATACTGAAAGATTATAGCTCATAAATGGTTCTATTAAGTCTTGATCCTCATATTTAAAAGATGGGATTATGTCAAAGAAAATGTTTACTGTAAAAACTTGGTAATAAAAGATAATTTTATCTCCTAAAGGTAGGTGAGACATTATTATAGAGGATAGGCATGCACTCAGGACTTGAAGCTTGGAGAAACTAAGATAAAGGACAGGATGTAGGCAAAAGTTTAAGGAAAATACCAAACGTGAAAGACCTTGCTGGAAAGGCAGTTTGTAGGCAATTTTTCAAGGTTTACAGAATCAGATTGGATAATGGATCATCTTAAGTGCATCAGCCAGAGGACAGGAAGGATCCCTTGTGACCAGCTAAGGGGAGTGAGAGATTTCAGGAAGTGATAGAATGAATAAATTTGAGTGACTGTGATAACAGACCTAGGTGGCTCAGGTTGCTGAGTCCAGAGGGACCATGCTTAGGAAGAGTAGGCTTGAGATGGGGAGCCTGGGTACTCACAAGATCAGCAGAGGACCATGGGAAGTAATGACTAATGTATCAGTGTGGCGCAGAAGGAAACAATTGTAATCAATAGATGTCAAAATAAGCATTCTGATTTTGCTTACCCTTCCAAATGACATGTCCATTACGGATTAATTTAAATTTCTTTCTCTTTTCCAACTGTCCTTTATGAACTCTGCAGCCAGCCACAGGAACCTTTTTCTTCCCTTCTGTCACTGAGAAGGTGGCTAGGATAGAAGCCTCACCTTTAGGAAGAAGAACAGAAAACTAAGGAAGCAGGGAAAAACATCACTTCTGGCATTCCAAAGTACAAAGATTAAAGGTGTATAACAATGACCCCAAAAAGGTCGATGCTGAGGTTGCGTACAACCAAACACCTGCAATTTGGTTCCTTGGTTGGAGGTTTACTGTTTCATGTTAGTGCTTCGAGTTCCTGGGGTCTTCAAAGCAGCCAAGAGGCCGTTTCAAGGTACAAGAGGTGATCCCTGTTCATCTGGAGCAGGGGAGTTAGCCATGGGAGGACCATGGAATGGGGGGCCCATTCCCTCCGTCAACAACTGCCTCCCTTGCCATGAGACCAGAAGAACGAGTGGTGGTGAACTATCACAACGGAACATTTTGACCAAAGATCCTGCAAAAGAATTTTGATCAAAAGGGGGAAAGGGCAAAGCAGCATTTCAAATTCTCGAGAAATCCTTTTTTCTGGAGCCAAAGGGCGGGATGAACGTCAGGATCTCGAACCAGGGGTCAAATACCCATCTTCAGAGGCCGTTATTCAGACAGCAGAGTTTGAACGTGGACCGTGAGTTAGACGGTAGTGTGTGCATGCTAAACTTTTAGAGTTTAATCACTGTTCTGTGGTCCTGTAAAAGAATGCCTGTTTTTGAAAATACAAGGAATTAGAGGCAAGGAGTACAGTATCTCAAACTTACTGAGATGATCCAGGAAAGTAGATACGTATGTTGTATGTTACATCTATACAGGGAAAAGGCAAGTGGGGCAAATATAAACAAAAGATGAATTGGGTAAAAGCTATAGGGGTTCTTTGTACTGTCCTTGCATTTTGGGTGTTTTGGGGGGGAAGCTTAAAACTTAAAACACAAAGCTTTAAAAAACCTCCAGTAAAACTAAATAAATGAAAAACTCAAACAAAAAAACTCCAGAGATGAGAAAAACAGATAATGTAATTCAATCAAATTGAAATGTTTAGCCTTTAATCTGACCAAAGAATATTTTTAAATATTTACTATTTACCACCCCGCCTCACAGTTCATTTCTCTGCAATGCCTCAGCACAGAATCTCACGGCTCCTTCTATGACACTGTTAACGTATCCAGCCTTTGGTCAAAATGTAGCTGTTTTTACCACGATTTGTTCGGGTCTGTCTGGATAGGAAGAACTTTCAAGGGCAAGTGCCTGGGGCTTTGCCTTTGTATCCTTGCCCAGAGCAGGTATTTATATCACTCAGTTACCCTGAATAATTCACCCAGGAAGTAATTTTTTTCTTACTCATAGGATATGATATAGGAAGACACTTGATAAGAGTTTCTGTAAACGTTTCTTTAAGTGCTATGGACAGTCTCTTAGACATCATTATTTCAGGGTGGTGTTGAGTGAACACTCACCTACTGGGTGCTCTTCCACAATGCAGGGCAGTCTGATACTCAGTTCTTCCTGTAAATCTTCAACAAGCCGGTAAATTATTTTGTGAAGTTTAATCTTTACTTGTTTCTTTGCAGCTGACTGCTGGATAGCATTGCTGGCATTCACATTGAAGCCATATATTACACCTGATGAGCAGAAATCAAATCAGGAAGTTGCACAAATAACTACATTAGAAAGGTTTGTCTTTCCAGCACTTTCCAAGCTAGTTGAATTTTTTCATCAAAACTAACTTTAAAAGTAATGCAAACAGAATTTTATAAACTTTTTAAATAGTGGTTTTGCAAGGAAAATTTATCATTGTATATCCATTCACGTAGGAAATATTATTTCAAGTGCCCTAATATAAAAAGGAGTATGCTACGCAAATAACTTAGGGAAAAGACAAAGTACTCTTGCCTTAAACAAAACAAATTTTAAAATTATTCCAAACAGATTAAAAGGAGAACACAATCTTGAAAATCAACCATTATAGTGCTATGACTAAGACCCTGTCCAATATGCTGTTTACAATATCTTTCAGAGAACAAAGCTACTGCCTAATAAGTACTCTGAATCATTAAGCATTTTCCAAAATAGAGGTGACATCTTACTCAAGTCATAAAGTACCCCTTCCTAAATAATTGATGAATCATTCAAGAATGCTTGGACTTTAGCTGGCACTAGACCTGGTCCTTTCCTGTATCACTAGTTTGACGAATAACGACAGGCCCTCTTGCCTGCTAGGTTTGATCTAAAGCTAAAAGGATCTTTTGATCTAAGAAAAATGTGATTTGCAGAATTATCAATAAAACCAGGCAGAAGTAAAAGATGGAGAAAGTTTCTAAATAAGTGGTTAGATGTGTTAGGAATACCCTAAAATCTGCTAGAGGACCAATCTTGGGTTGGGGTGGGAAACTAGGAGGCGGAGGAGAGAGACAATAGCAGTGCCTACAAAGAAAATCTGAGAAACACTACTGGGGCTTGAAACAGTCCCCAGGTTTGACTACCACCGCCACACGGACACAAGAGTGCACATCCCACTCGGCTCGGGGGCTGGCTGGGACTGCAGGCAGTGATGCTGACGGGAGTCAATGCCAGGTGAATGAGCAGCGGAAAAAAAAAAAAAAAAAAAGCTTAGGAAGCACACTTAAACAAGTTGGAATGAGAATCCTTACCACCAAAAGTTCCGGCCAGGTTAACGTCGTTTTCAGTGATATCACCCACTCCAAAATGTACTAGGTCTAGTTTACACTCGTGTGATGCATCATAGGTATCCACAAGGTCCAGAATGGCTTCAACAGAACCATCAACATCACCTGAGGAGAGCAAAGGTCAAGCCTGATGTCAGAGGAAGCACCAACGATGCCAAGAGCACACTGGGAGCCATCAAGAAGCTAACCCGAGCACTCAGTTCACTTCTCCTTAGGCTCACCAGTACAGAGACCTACCTAATAAAGAACAACGAACCCCATGGTCATCAAGCAGTGTGTCTACTAAGAAAATCACCCCGAAAAACGAGTATTGTTGGCTAAAAGACCCAAACTACTTGTGAAAAATACATAATCTAAGAAATGAGTTGTAAAATGAAATCCTTTTTAAAAATACCTTTAATGATTATAGGAAGTACATTTGAATCTCTTTCTACTTTCTCTTTTGGCCTGAAGACTTTGTGTTCTTTTTTTGCTTGGTACTTTAAATAGGACCGCTCCTTCCAGTGCAAGCTGCCGTACTGATCACGGTCTTTTCGATGTGCTTCTTGATGTTCCTTTCGCTTTTCCTCTATTATTTTCAGATCATCTTTATTTTTCTCCTGTTCCTGCTCATACTTTCTCCAGTCGACAACTTCACGTGCCCTTGTCTTTCGCAGGGAAAAAGTCTGCATTACTAACGGAACAGAAGCCAACCAACTGTCTCTTGCCCTATGAACGGAGCCTGACCCACATAGGAAACTACCAACCTTATGTGTCAGGAAACATGAAATTGTATTTTGCGAGCTTCTGCATAATTGAAATTATTTCATTTTAAAATCTTACATTAAAATTTAAGTTAATAACCAAATTCTAAAGTACCACTAGCAGCCTCCCTTAATCCCTACAGTTTAATTGTTTCACATTAATATACTGATTCAGTGAAACATTTTATTTTATTTTTATTTTTTTTCATTTAAAGTGATATGTTTATTTATTTATTTTTTCCTTGTTTATCTCCTTGCTGTAAGATTTATTTATCAGTGAAACATTTTAGAGTGATATTTAGAAGCACATAAACAGTAAGACAAACCCACTGCCATCAAGTTGATGTCGACTCATAGAAACCCGATAGGCCTAGAACTGCCCTTGTGAGTTCCCGAGATCCCACCTGTTTACAGAAGGCTGGTTTCGAGCTGCAGACCTGGCAGATCGAAGCTCAACGCGCAACCACTACGCCACCGGGGTGCCTACAAAAGCATCACAGCATGTCTAATATACAGAATCAAGTTTGATGTACCTCAGACTCTACTTCAAGGATTTCCTCTCCGGCCGATGGAAGGTCCCTCCAGCCTATGATTCCCACGGGCATGCTGGGACAGGCCTCACTGAGGACTTTGCCATTTTCATCAAACATCGAGCGCACTTTTGCCCAGCACTTTCCAGCAACCAGAATCGAGCCTTTTCTCAAAGTTCCTCTTTGAATTATAGCTGTAGTAACTGGACTAAAATGGAAATGAAAGTATATACTTATTATTAAGGTCCTAATCAGAACGTAATTGAATTTCTTCTGGAAAGCAAAGGTATCTTTATAAAGTTTTAAAATATACACGGATACAGACTTCTCCGTCTAAACAGTTTCTTATGCTACACACACACATCGCTTCTGAGATTATAGTTGCTAAGGAGGGGCCAGGAGGAAGAGTATCCTGACAGAATCCTTCATTCCTTTTCAATATCCAAGTTCTTACACTACAAGAACTATGCTGCTAATAAGAAGGGAAATTCAAGAAGTACCATTTCCAAGACTCACTGTGTGATATTACTGGGTAAGGTCATGAAGAACCCAGACCATCTAAAAGGCAACAGATCTGTTAGTCTATGACGTGTTGTGGATGCAGCCAAGTCAGTGATGGAGAAACCCAACCACAGGGAATGGCTACTAGATGGATACAATACATTCGATGTGAGCCACTGGGACATCCACCATTCTGTGCTCTGTGTGCTAGAACAATGAAGTGCTTTCCCAAGCGAACACTTTGAAGTACTGCGCTTGGACTAACCATGGCATGCAGCAAATACACTCCATTATTACAAGTCAGTCACAAAAACCGTTGAGCAAAATTAAAGTTGTAAGGGGGTGGCAGGGACTAAGGGGGAAGAGGAGAGTTGACTATAGCACCACTCAATGGACTGAACAAAAGAACTGTAAGAGGAGGGAAGAGATGTTTCGGAATGAGTACGTTATGTCAAAATACTACTCGAGGGGAAGAAAAGAAAGAAAACGTCATATAAACTAAAAAAAAAAGAACCACGTGTCATAAAGGCCTTACCCTCTTCCTTTGTCTGTGAAAGACTCCACTACTGTCCCTTCCACTGGACCACAGGGATCTGCTTTCAGCTCTAACATTTCTGCAAGTGCAATGGTGGCTTCTGCCAAGGCCGTGAGATTACTGCCCTTGAACAACAACACAGGGAGCAACGTCAGCTCTAAGCGGAAGCACCAGGATCAGAACACCTCTGGAAGGTGTTTAAAATAACGAATTTCCCACTTCAAAAAAGAAAACTAAAAAATCTATCAGCAGGAAAACTTGGCCCAGGTACAGATCTTGCAAGGACCATGTGCTATTTTCAGGGATGACTGTTGGTGGTGCTGCTAATTGTCTTTCACAAACACATGCTTCATTTATTCTTTCTCCTAAATCTGATTCTCCGATTTTGTTTTCTTCCGCTCGTGAACTTTCTTCATGTTATGTTACATTTGAAGGTCTAGACAGCTGAGAACGCTTTCGCATCTGACCTCCTTTGATCCACTGAGAACCCTGTGCAGCTGATGATCGAGGATGACCTACCGTTCACCGGTGAGCGAGGAGCGAAAGCACTGTCTCTACACCACCGGCTGCGAAGCCTGGAAAAATCCACTCACCCACCTCGTCCACCTGCCCCAACTGCACGGCGAAGAGGCCGAATCCGAGGGCTTGCTTTTCAGGGTCCATGTGTACTACGTTCTCCAAAGCGACAAGGGCGCTCAGGCGACCAGCTGGTGGTGACGGGACTGCGCGCGGTCAGGAGATGTCCCGTTCTTACTCCATCCAGATCACCAAGAGCTCGCTCAGTTGTTACAGACCACGAAGCAAAGAGCTGTAAGAGCCAACTGAACACTTGACCTCGCTACTTATTCCCACTTGCAAAATGCTCCTCCGGAAAGCCGAGTGCAGGGTTTCTTTACGTAACATAGGCCTCTTCCCTTCCTTTCCTGACACACCCGCCCAACTCCCTCAGCCGATAATTTCTTTTTACGAAACATTTTATTGTGTTTTCAGTAAAAGTTCATACAACAAATTAGATTCCTATATAATTTGTCTGTGAGCTCTGGCAGCAAGCCTCAAAGTTCACAGTTTGAAACCACCAGGTGCCCCTCAGGAGAAAAGCAGGCTTTCTATTCTCCTCAAGAGTTAGTCTCAGAAACCCACCAGGGCGGCCCTCCCCGCCCTCCGGGGTCACTGAGTCAGGACGCACTGGACGGCGGTGAGTTTGGCATTGATGTCGTTTGTCCAGTGTCCCTGGTGACATGCTTCGCAGTAAGTCAACGTTCTCATCACTGCTGTTCACATTGCTCCATTTCCAATTGTCTGGTTTCCCTGCCCTCCGGCCTTCTCGTCTCTGTAATGTTGAGGGTTTGGTTTTACATAGATGACTGTTTAAAGGAGCAGCACTGTGGGTGATTTCCTTCTGAGATGACGTCATGGCTTTGGCTCACCTCCAAGTTTAATGAGGGTCTCAAAGGCAATAGTCTGGAGGAGTCCTCCAGTCTCGAGCAGCCCAGTGACTCGGCGCATTTGAAGAATGTGAGCTGTTTCACAGTCTTCTCCTGTTCTGCTGGGATCTGGCTACTGTGGCCCTCATCAAACCAGTCCACAGCGGTAAAAACAGACAAACAAAAAAACAGCCCACAGCGGTAGCCAGGCATCACCTAGTCCTGCTCGCAGTCAGTGAAATTGTGCTTTATGTCAACTCGAAGTCCTGCCAGCGACTTTGTCTTCTTCTTCCTCTTTGACTCGAGACACAGAGACCAGTAGTTGTACCTTAGATGGCCACTCAAGCTTCTATGGCCTCAGACACTACGCGCCAAGCTACGATGTGGGCCATGAGTTTTATGTATTATACTACACCATTGACCACAGGTCCCCGAGACTATGACCCTGAGCCTTTAGACACACAGACCAGTACTGTGAGCTGTCCTTAAGGCTGCAAGTCTGTGTGTTGTGACCCCTATGTGCTTTACCACCTGTGCAAACACAGAGGAATGGCTAGCCTACCGTCTTTAGCCTACATTGCCCTATTCCCAAACCACTCACCGTTCATTCTACACATAAATGTAGAATGTGTCTCATAAAACGAAACTCACTGGACTTAGAGCTGACGCCCAGCTGCGCAACCATACACTGGTCGCTGACCTTTCTGAGCCTAACCGCAAATCTGTCAAGGACAAGGACAGCCGCCGTGCCTGTTACTCAGGTAATGTACAAAATCACGACCGAGCTGAAGTATGTTCTTTGAACATAATGCAGTCTGTGCTACCTGCCGGGCACGTCTGTCTGTGAGGTGCCCGCACTCACCGTGAGCGCAGAGATGTCCACCGACTGAACGTCGCCACCATAGTCCTCACACACCACTTCGTAAGCCAGCAGCTCCTTTCTCACTCTTTCCGGATCAGCCTCAGCTTTGTCACATTTGTTGATGGCAAGGACGATGGGTACTGAGAGAGACCGATTGAAGATGACCCGTCAGTGCCTGGTACTCACGGAGAGACCAGCGTGTCCTCACTTTCTCTTTCCTCAGTGGCCGTACTTACCTGACAAAAACTCTAAGACTCACTCACTATCAGTGACCAGACCCTACTCTGGTCCCTAGAGGTAAAGAGAGAATCCAGAGGCTAACCAGGCAACGGTAAGCAGATTCCGCATGGGGAACGGTCACCGAAGATGGAAAGGACACTATCTGGGCTTATCCTTCAACGTGAGAGCCGGGTGCGTGGCCATTCTGGTGATGTCCCCCAGAGGACCACCGGCAGGGTGTGACCGACTCTCACGCCATCATTCACTCCTTCTTCCTACAAGCTACCCACTCACTTTTACCGACATCAGATCCTGGCGAGAACTAGGTTTCATTACTGTACATTTTCTTTTCAGATACACAGTAGTTCTTTATTTGTACAGCGAGCTCAGTAGCCAACACGGCCCGGTAGCATTTCCAGCGATGCCATCTTCACAGGGGCGCAGCCTGCTCCCTCCCACCTCGGGCAGACCTCGGTTCAGGGTTCTGTGGTTCCTCTTCTTACATCTGGTTGACATTTCCAAGATAAGGTGTCCTTTTTTCCAGTTGTTATACCACCGCCTCGACTACGTGACAGAGAGAGCTGTGGGGTTGCTTATGACCTGTGGGAAAGGGACTGACCCACCTGGACTGTGCCCCGCTGAGCAGGTCTGACCAGGACTGCCTGCGCGTGTCGATCGGGAGGGTGAAATGTGCTGCCTGGGAGCAAGCAGCACAGCCGCTACACACACACACCACGAAAGCAAACCAAGCATGCAGACACACACTCGGCACCCGCGCCTCCTCGTGCGCACACTCGGGTACCTCGAGCGTCCCGAGCATGCCTGATGGATTCCACGGTCTGCTTCATGACCCCGTCGTCCGCGGCGACAACCAGTATGACGATGTCGGTGACGTGTGCGCCTCGGGCTCTCATTGCTGAGAAGGCAGCGTGCCCCGGCGTGTCGAGGAAGGTGATCTTGTCCCCAGAAGGCAGAGAGACTGTGTGAACAGAAGCCCCCCCAACAACAAGGCTTATACGTGCCTTCTTTACACAAGCGTGTGACACTATCGAGAGCAATCAATAGTTCTCTACATAACTGTATTCCTGCTCTTTCTTCTAACCAGGCCACAGCAGGGCCTCACGGGAGATCGCAAAGGTTTTTTTTCTTTTCCCCGGATAGTTTTGAACTAAAAGTCTTCACCTTTCTAAAACATAAGGTATCCACCTTCACCCACATGCTGACTGACCCGGTTCTGGACAAAGAAGGACCGACAGCCATGCAGCAGCCTTCACACTGACAGACTGCTGCTGTGAGGCTGCCCTGCCCGGAGCCACCAACAAGCAGGGGAGGGGACGGTTGGTAGGTCAGGATTTAGAGTCCCACAACCGTGGGTTTGAGTCCTCATTCTGCCACTTACAAGCTGTGTGTCTTGGGCAACTGCCGTAGCCTGGGAGGCTCTGCGCCCTGTAGGCGGGACTCTCAGCGCCCACCTCCTGGTGGGAGCTGGTGGTGAAGCTCTAAAGGGCAGAGTGAACCAGTGCCGAGTGCAGGGCCAGGATGGACAAGTGGTAGCAAGTACTCTTTCTTTTCCACCCTGCTATAACCTAAACTCACCGCCATACGGTCATTCCGACTCATTTTAAGAACTAACCAATAAACAGATGGAGCGCGTAAACTAAGAACGGCTGGAACAGAAGACAACTGCCGTCTCACGGAATGTCTGAGACCACTGTTCGCACCACGCACGCAACGTCTCATCCACTCACTGCTAATTTAAGCTTCGCTTTCCCTTGGACAGTGGTCTGTAACCGTCCTGAGTGGGCACAGCGCACATGCGGCCAGATAAACTGCTTTCTTACCGAGAAAGGCGCCCAGGTGCTGCGTGATGCCTCCGGCCTCCCCAGCTGCCACTTGAGTCTGTCGAAGCTTGTCAAGTAAGGTCGTTTTCCCGTGATCCACGTGGCCCATGATGGTAACAACTGGAGACCTCGGGGTTAATAAAGCTGGATCTGCCGGGGGCCTCCAATGAACAGGAAAGGGTCATGTCTTCAATATCAAAACACTGGATAGCCTGAGAATCAGTTTGATTCTTTCTGTGATCTGCTATTACAGTAAAACCAAGCGCTCAGCTTTGGGTTGTCTGGTTTCCCTGCCCTCCGGCCTTCTCGTCT